TAGGCCAACCTGTACCAAAGTGTCATAACTTAGGAGTTATAGAGTAGAGGGGCTTTAGAAAGCAGTGTTTAGAAAGAGACAACAAGCACAATGAAAAAATTAAAGGACAGTTTGGGGTTGGCACAAAAATCTTAGTAGACATTAAGATAAAATGTGAATGAGAGGTGCCTGGGTGGCTCAGTCAGTTAACGTCCAACTTCAGCTCAGGTCATGATCTTATGGTTCATGGGTTCGAGTATTGGGCTCTGTGCTGACAGCTCAAAGCCTGGAGCCTGCTTTGGATTCTGTGTCTCCCTCTCCCTCTCTGCCCCTCCCCTGCTCGTATTCTCTGTCTCTCAGAAATAAACATTTAAATTTTTTTTTAAAAAAGATGAAATGTAAATGATATTTTCTCTTTTAACCTAAAACTTTTTAGCTCTACATAATAAAAATAATACTAGGAACTCTACCGGTGTTTTGTGTGGAGCTGTGTTATCTAAAGGAATATGTCCCAGCCACATGGGGCTATTGAGAACCTGATGTGTAGTTACTCATAATTGAATCACAAACTTTTTTACTTCATATGAAAAATAAAATATCCCATTAGTTTTTATGGAATAATAATGTGTTAGACATATTGGGTTGTTACAATTAATCCTACTAATTTAATTTTCTTTTTTCTAACATGGCTACTCGAAAAGTTAAAATTACACATATGGCTTACATTTGTTGCTCAGTTACATTTGTGTGGGATAGCACTGGTATAAACTCTTTCAACCAGCGCTTGAACTGATAATGGCATCTCAGAGGAAGAATTTCTATATTCATAGTTAGTTCTTTTAAGTACCAATCATTTATTTTGAATAGAGGAACAAAAGAAAAGATTCCAAAATTTTGATAACAGTATTATTGCATTCTTTTTTTATGTTTATTTTGAAAGAGAGAAAGAGAGTGAGCAGTGGACAGACAGAGAGGGAGAGGGAGAGAACCTCAAGGAGTCTCTGAGCTGTTAGTGTATAGTCTAATGGAGGGCTCAAACTCACAAACTGTGAGATCATAACCTGAGCCAAAATCAAGAGTCAGGCTCCTAATCTACTGAGACAGCCAGGCGCCCCAAGGCCACAGCATTCTGAAAGGATTGGAAGCATAGTGCTGGGTTTATGAACAAATATTAATTGGTGGTTTTGTTATAAAAAGAAGTCTCTAGGCTAGTTTCATAAGAGAGGGGTTGAGATAAAGGTAGCACCAAACTGGACTGTATAAGACAAAGTCTCCATTTTCGTCTGTAGCAGCTTGAGAAGAATAAAGGGATCTGGACTTCAGAACTTAAAGAAAAGCATTTGGGAAAAAGCTCAATGGAGAGTCAGAGTGGGCCCTGGGGAAAAACAGATGGAAGAGACTGGGCTCAGGAAGAAGGGGGATCACTACAACATGACTCTTGGCAGAAAATGAACTTTGAAGTTTAGTAAGAAAATCAGTATCTGATACTATTTTAAGTTATTTTGTTGTTGTTTGTACGTAAACCACTTTTCAATTTCTACAAGTCTCTGGTAGTCTGTTGCACGTACAGCTTTTTGTTCACGGGGACTTATGAGGGAAAACAACTGTGTTTAAACATGTGGCAGAGGGATATAGAGAGAACAAAGAAGCATCCAGAAGCAGTGATTAGACAGCACAAAGTGATCAAGACTTGAGCCAGGAGCGAGGCACATCAAATAATGACAGGCAATTATCAGCAGAGCTGTAAGCCCTTCTTCTCAGAAATATTTAGAAAACTTGGGGAATGTACTCCATTGAAGAAGAGGTGTAAGGAAATGAACTAGAGTTCTTTCTTTGGTCCCTTACAGGTAAAGACAGAACCAGGTGAAGCTGTCACACAAAGGAAACTCTGTTCACATCAACTAAGGAGATAGATCACTATGAATAACTTCCAAAGCCAAGATTCCCTGAGTGGGGTTAAGTGGGTTTCTTTTATTTAGGGTTAGGATGAATATTCAGAAATGGGAGCCTTGTCATCACAGGTAAAGGTGGGCACCACATTGCACACTTAGAAAACATGCCTATACACATAACTTACGCTAAATGAAGGTTGTGCTCCTCCCAGGGTAGAGACTTTAACATAATGAAGCCGAGGTAACTGTTGGACAAGGAGCAGCAGTTATGGGCATGCTCCAGAGCAGTTATAAACTCAATGGCAGATGGGGCTCCTGGTCTCAGTTAAGGAATGCAGGGCCTGGCTCACTTTTGAAATGGCACTGGGAGTTTGACCACTAATTTATTGTCTCTGATAGAGTCAGGCTATCTTGGTCTATTAGAGATGTTAGTTTTTGCATTCCCTTTGTTTCCTTAAAATCATTTACTGAAGTTTCTGCTTTTACTTATAATTCTGACATCTTCTAGAAGCTCTGCAATAAGTGTGTTAGGACAAGTAGAGCTGTAAGATCACAGAAAATAGCTGGGGTCCTAAAATGACTTCTTTTTCTGAGGACTCTTAGCTCTTTGTACTTACAGAGGGTTCAGTTTATTTCATTTGCATGTTAATGGAAAGGGTGACTCAGGAAGGCTGGAGAACTAGGGAGTCACCTTGAGTAATTATATATGTGAAATCTCTAGTCAGATATTTTTCAGTTTCTCATCTACTTCCAATTCTTATTTAAGATGTAATATGTAATGAAAAAATAGAAATTTATTTAATTACCGGTTTTTAAATTATTTTATTTTAGAGAGAGAGAGAGAGAATGCATGTGCAGAGTGGTAAGGGGGCAGGAGGAGAGAGAGACAGAATACTAGGCAGGCTACAGGCTGAGTGTGGAGCCCCATTTGGGGCTCGATCCTAGGACCCTGAGATCTTGGCCTGAGCCAAAACCAAGAGTCAGATTCTCAACTGACTGAACCACCAAGGCACCTCTCTAACTAGATTTTTTAAAATACTTTGAGCTCAGAGTATACTAGATGTGGAAGTACTGAGGTCTCTCTATATAGAAGCTCCCTGAAGACTTAAACTTTATTTTTAATTCATTTGATTTTTATTCATTCATTCTTACCTCAAATTTATTGTATTATATTAATAGATTATTTACAGGGTTAAGGCATTTGTACTTTTTAAAATGATGATCCATAAAATACTGAATCTATTTGGACATCTTTCCACCATTCATCACCTTAGTGGCCACTGAAGCAACTCTGAAGAACCACTATAGCCAGAATCATGGGTGTCTCATTTCATAAATAAAAATTAAAACTCGTTCTTTTGAAAGTTAAACTCAATTGAAATAATGATGATATTTTTTAATTGAAGAAATTTTTTAAAAGTTGTAAAAAGAGGATGAATCTACTCAGTTTTCTGAAAAGAAATGTAGGGTCACCTAGTATTAATACACCATGATTGAATCCTGTCTCTGTATCTTTCATAACTATCATTTCCTAGAGTAACTTTTGCAAATGAGAAAATGTAACACCATTGTTGTACTGATTTAGGTCTAAATACAACCATTTTTATCTAAATGGGTTTTATACATTAATACTTTATTATTTTACAGCCAGGGTTTTTCCTGTGGTCTTAATGGACAGACCTCACGAAACTCTGTGAACCCTTAGAAAATGTATACAAAATACTGTTGTGTATCTCCGTTTCCTTGAGAAGAGGGGCGGTCTCCAAGATTCTGATTTGTGTAGTCAAGCTACTTTGAAAATTCAAACAATGTTAGTGGAAGATGTCACCTCCTCCCCCTTCCTCCACTTTTGGAACATTTGGCTAAACAAAAGAGGCTGAAAATGACTTAATCAATATCTCATTATTGTGCATTTAAGTTAAATGAACACACTTTGTAAAGAAATCTTTTGAGAGTTCTCATTAGCTTTAGGATAAACTCCAAAGAGTGGAATTGCTGGGCAAAAGAATGCGAAAATTAAAGTTTTTAATACTTTCTTTTCTTTTTTTTTTGTAATCTCTACACCCAACAAGGCTCTGGAACTCACCACCTGGAGCTCAAGAGTCAGCAGGTTCCTCCGACTGAGCCCGCCAGGTGTCCCCAAATGTTTAATTCTCTTCATACACATTGCTTCATTGCCTGTCAGAAAGTTAAGGAACTACATTTTCCCCAACATGGGGTGAGAAGGCTTATTGTCTCTCATGTGAATATAATAAAACTTTAAGTCCTAAATTGCTTATTATTTTGACTTATATTTCCCACTTTTACATATCTTAGTATTCCACCAGTCAAACACTGATGCCGCCAAAAGAGAAATAACAGTATTATCACTTCCTTTCTTGGTTACTATGTATGCTGTGACCATGACTGTAACAATAGGTAACATTCATTAAAAGTTAAATTCCCTGGAGGCAATGAGTCTAGTCCGCAACTGCACTGCTATTCTTTTCTTCCAAACGAGATAACCTAGCCTTTTAGACATTGGGGACAGTAGCCCCAAGTCATAGAGATAAGTTGAAGCAAAGGGACTTGGGCTGGGATCTCATACTGTAGTTACCCCGGACTTAAGGGGGACAGGAAGGGGGTGGTGGAGGACAGTGAACCATTGGGAAAAACAAGCAAAACCAAAACAAAAATAGGGCTCCTGCCGCGCTTGCGCTTAGTTTCCTTCTACTCGGTTAGAGTTTCTAAATTTTAAACGATGTGACTTTCCGGCTGTCAGACGCGTGTCTACCAACCAGTCTATCCTACTCCCAGCGTCGCCGTGTGTCATTCAGAGACGACTCTCAAGGCGTGGACTAGAAGGCTGCTTAGCTGACGGTCTGAGGCAGATAGTAAATGTTTTTTTTTTTTTCCCTTTGCAAAAGGAAAAGTCCTGATAGAAAAAAAAAAAAGGAAGCACTATTATTTTTAAATTTTCCAGGGGTAGTGCTGCCGACTTTTACCTTTAAGCCTTGAGAAACCAAAGTAACAAAACCTGGAGCGTGCACCATCACAGCAGCGGCGCTTCCGGACTTGAGCAGGGCGGAGGAAAGACGCATGCGTCGTGCGCGCCGCTGGGTCACACACCTCCTAGGAGAGCGCTCTGCGCAGGCGCGGACGCAGGTTGCAGCAGCGCCCGACCTCTGCCGAAGCCGTAGTCCTGCTGCCCCTCCCCCGCCCCGCATCCGCAGCTGCGGGCTCCTGTAGGCCTGTAGTCCCAGCCCCGGCGGTCGGTACTGCAGACCCCGTGACCCCGTCCTGTGGCCAGTGCGCGCCGGAGCCGCTCGGGACTGCGCAGCGCTCCGCGTGCCGGTGAGTGATCCTGAACGCGCAGGCCCTCGGTCCCTTTTTCGGAGTAGAGCCCAGCGGCACGTCCTGGGAAGAGCCAAGCGGGGGAAAGGAGGTAGAGCAGCGGAGGTCGCAGGGGCGCCAGCCCGGCTCGGAGACCCAGGGGCCGCTGAGGGCTGGATTAATGGCGGTGTGTGTCACCACCTATCCGGACCCAGGCTCCTTCCTAGGGATCCCGTGCTAAGCCCGGAGCATGGGGTTGATTTCAGGCTCCCACATCTTTTGCGGCCAGGTGGCCCCTGCTTTTGCTCTTACTTAGTTTTCTTGCACGGTTGCCTTGATCTTATCTTTAACCTTTCCAGAGTAGGCTGTGTGCTGTGTTTTGTTTATGCAGCTTACAAAAGGTGCGGGCTTTCGTTACATAGAAGATAACGACCCATTTAGATTGGATGAAGTGCTGTACTTTCCCTCCCCCCCATCTCTCCTTGCTAAGTCTTAGATCCATGTTGGCTTTTCAGTAAGAGATTGCAATGAAAACGTTGAATACCGGGAAGAGAAGGGGGATGTAGCACCTCTTCATAAACATACCAACGAGTTTTTAGGAATAAAAGTGGCTAAATACTGTTTGCTGTGAGGAATATCCAGTAGGGAGGGCGGGGATATCTAGTGCCTGACGGAGTCTGGTTGGTGCTTGTTAGTTAGCATTGCTGAAATAAACACCTGTCAGAGCAGACTCATCAAGACAACTGTTAGATACAGATAGAAAACAGGTCCAGACTGAGAGCACTTGATCTTGCCCTCTGGGTCTCCCTACCCCCCTGACCAAATCATTCTAGTCTCCTAGAGACTAGACATCTTACCCGCCTGTTGTGGTAACTGGGATCCCAGAAAGTATGGCTTGGTGGCCACACTGCTGAGGCACCGATCCCTGCTCAGCTGATATTCCAGATAGGTCCCAAGGTCACTGTGTTGATGTTAATTCACCCCCGAACCACCTGTGACTGGCAAATATTCGTTTGGCTTGGGTAATGTAATTGAGACAAACCAAGAGAAGATGTTGCATTTGTGGACATTATAGATCATTTATGTTTTTGAACTTACATGGATAATGTGTACGTCGATTTTTTTAAATAGTAAAATAGTGAAAATAAGCATCTTCATAATGTTACAATTTTAAATTGATCTACTGGTTGTGAATATTTTTTATCCTGCTGTATATACTATGTTTGAATGATCCCAGCACATGGATAACATGCCAGTATTAAAAAGTAAACTATTCTCTATATTATACTATAACTTGACTTAGTGTCAGTTTTCCTTACTCAAATCAATGAGAATTTCTAACGACATCCTTATCTCTGTATGAATGTCTATAATAATACACTTTTAGGAACTGGTAAAAGAAAATTGGTCAAATTTGGAAAGAGAAGAGATATTATTTGTAACTCTGCTTTTCCTCTTTATTAATTTTCCCTGAGAATACCAGCAGACTGGATTATTATATGACTTTTAAGTTCTTTCATCCTTAAAATTGTATAAACTCAACTGCAGTGCTGTTGCATTACCTACCTGCAGAGGTGATTTGGTATAGGTATGGTATAGATGTAGGTACTACCACTAATTCTTATTTGGTTTTAAATTTATGTTAAATGTAAATGTAAATTTTACCTATGTTATTTTTTATGCTGTTGCCCTAAGAATTTGAAATTAATAGTTCTAAATGTTGCTTTGTATTGGTGAATTATATTAAATATCATGGCATATTAATTTCAACATAATTTTAAAATTTCGACTCTGCCAACTGTTGAATGAAAGCCAAATCTGCAGGGTTTCGTTTTGAGTTGTTTTGTTGCAAATGTTTAAATGCTCAAAGCTAGAAATGTGAGAATGAGCAGGATTGTGAGTTTTGTTTATCAAAATGCGGCATGAATTTTAAAAGGCTGAAAAGTACTACTTTTAACTTGTAACCAGGGTTTAGGGGTGCAAGAGCACCTGACTCCTAGGGTTCCAAATTGACGAAGTTCGGCCACTCGCCACTGACAATATCCAAAGGCAAAGACACAAGTGGTAGTAACACAAGAGAAGAGTTTATTTCAGTGAGGCCAGCCTGGGGAAAACAGTGACTAATGTCACAAAGATTGTCTCCAAAGTGCTGAAAATACTTCTGAGTTTATAAAAGGAAAATGTGGTACAGCAGTGGATGGGTGGGTACATTGCAGGTGGGTGGTAAGGTCAGATCAGGTCAGATCGATAATTGTCTTGGGGTCAAGGAAGCCCTTACTGCTTGAAGGATTTTGCTTGCTTGGCCCTCAGGGTACTGCCTGAGTTAAGGGATAAGACGGAAGTAAGAATTTAATCACTTAGAAAGTACTGGCTGAGGAGGAACTGGAGGTAGTTGAAGTCTTCTTTCACTCCTACCTGGTGATCCATATAATACATAATCATAATTTGCCTAAAGCAACGTTAGTCTTTTAGGGCTAATTGGTTTAAAGGTAGAATATGTTTTGTTTTGTTCTAGTGAAGCCCACTTTCTTTTCAGAGAACCCTAAGAAAGTCCATGAATGTGAGTGTATTTTGTTACAAAAAACACATTGGACTCTCAGTGCCCTTGTTTCACATATTACCTTGATTAGTATAATTCTAATCTGAAAAGTAATTTGAATATTTCCTTGAAGTTTGCCCTATGTTAATTATATTGGTATAAAAATCCTGTAATATTCTTGAGTATATATGCTTTTATCCTGAAATTTACCATAAGACATTTCTTTTTCTTTAGACATGGGAAAGTCTTTTTCTCATTTGCCTCTGCATTCAAATAAAGAAGATGCTTATGATGGAGTCACATCAACTGAAAATATGAGGAATGGACTGGTTAATAATGAAGCCCATAATGAAGATGGAAGAAGTGGAGACGTCTCTCAGTTTCCATATGTGGAATTTACAGGAAGAGATAGTGTCACTTGCCCCACTTGTCAAGGAACAGGAAGAATTCCTCGGGGTATGTGTCATTGTGTTATTTTTCCTTTAAAGAGTTATTACAGGCCTTTGTACTGGATTTATAATGGTAAAAAACCCATAGATCAAAGCACAACCCTATGTGTTTTAAAAGCTTGTAGAATTAAAGTTAAAACCATGTATCAGTTATCTTCAGTTAAAGGGACACAAAGAAACAAACCTAAACATTTAAAAGCCCATCACACCCTTTAGGTTTCTAAAGCAGTGATGAAAACCACTCCTCTACTCTAGGATTGTTTTCTTTCCCACTTGTGATACCAGATCTGCACTGTCTTTGGACTGAACATTTTTAATCCAATTTGGTCATAATCACATGTTGGGCATAAGGAACAATTTAAGTAATTTGGTGACCTAGTATTTTTAGTTCACTGTGTAAAGAATAATAGTAAGCTGGTCATGCCTTAATTAGTTATTTTTAAAGGAACTACATGAAAAGGGATGTTAAATGAATATGGGTCATAAAGGGGAAAATCAGTTTGTGGCATATCATAGGGAAATTTAGAAGGGAGTAATCTTCATGTGCTGTTTATAGCCTACACAAACTTTAGTAGAAATGGCAACAGTAGAAATAATGAAAACACTTGGTGCGGTTTTCATTTTCTGCCTGTTTGAAGATAATTGGTAACCCTGAAGAAGCCATGAGGGAAGGACAGTAGTCTGTAAGGTATACAAGTGTTTCTAAGCAATGCCTTGGGTTGGGGAAGTTTATATATGAGTTGGCCTTTCAATGTGATGGTTTTATCATTGAAGGGAGAAGTACCTGTTAGACAATAAAAGGATTTTTGTAGGTGAAGGGATTAGTGCCTTAGGCTAAGAAACAAAAACAAAAAGGACTGTTTTAGCAATCTGGATATTATTTTGAGGTGTAACTGATAGGCTTTTTTTGGTAGCCTGGAGGTGGATTGTGGATAGTAGGAAGTCAAGGATGACTCCAAAGGTATTTTTGCCTGAATAGCTGGAATGGAGAAAAGAAAGTTTGAGTGTGTATGTCCTGGGAGAGATCAGGAGTTTTCTTTTAGGGATCTATGTCTGGAAGAATGTAAGATGCATATTTGACATCTAAGTGGATATATTTAGTAGGACTTAGATATAATGAGCATCTAGAATTCACTGCAAGGCCTTGGCTGGATATTTAAATGTAGGTGATACTTAAAGCCTAGTTGGATGAGAGCACCAAGCTTATCAGTGTGAATAGGGGAGAAAAAAGAGACCCTAGTGCTGAACCTTGCGGCATTTCAACATTTCAGTCAGTGACAGAAGGATTTAGCAAAGACAATGGAAAAGCAGCTAGAGTAGAAGGAGGAATTTCCAGTGTATCTGCTGTCCTGGAAATATAGAAAGTGTACCAAGGAGGAGAGAGTGTGGAACTGTTAGATGCTACTGATAGATTGGGTAGTATAAGGACTGAAAACTAACCATTGGGATTTGGTCATGTATACAGAGACCACTGGATACCTTAAAAAGGGAAGCTGTGGCAGGTTGCATATAGCATGTATTAGAGTGGAATCAAGAGAGCATAGGAGGAGTGAAGTTATGTAGTAAGAACATAGTTTTTTGGAGGAGTTTTACTGTATACATAAGGAAAGTATAGAGACAGTAGCTGGAGGGGGGCTCTCAGTCAGGAAAGGGATTTTTTAAAAGATTGAGTGAATAATTTGTATGCTGATGAGAATGATACATAGAGGAAAAAAATTGATACTGCAGGAGATGGGAGAATTATCAGATGTAACCCACAAGAGCAGGGAGCTGCTCTTACAGAGGAGCACCAGCACTTAACTCTTTGTACTAGGAGAAAGTAGAATGTATGGACACAGAAACAGGTGGGTAGATGTGGTGGGAGCTTGTGGAAGTTCTGTTTTGTTTGTCACATCATCATATAGGGAAGGAGCTATTAGAAATTTGAAGAGAGAGTTGAAGTTTGAAGTTGTGGTTTTGGGGAGTCAGATTGAGAGTGTCACCTGGGTCATGTTGTATGATGAGTGACATCAATAAAGGCACTTGAGATTAGTGATCTAAATGAAGCCAGTGAGCATAGTTGTATGTTTTTCTCTAAATATTTAGCTGTATGGATATCAGTGTAGTAGCTAAAAGGTTGCTATGGGTCAGTTTGATATTCAGGAGCACAGTGTGGGGACCTCTGTAGTTCAAGGAATTGCAGGACATAAAGGTAGTGCTATTTCTTCTGCTTTTATCCACATACCCAAATCAGAATCTAAATGGAAAATATGCAGTTGGAGGAAGTCTTGGTGAATTCAGAGCTTCTGAAAGCTGGGACATTTTAGATTTTTTTCAGTAAAAAATTACTCTTTCTCATTCTTTGTATTGTTTTGACTGTTTAGACATCAAGCTCTGAAAAATACATTATCTGTTTTAGAACTCAACATCCACTTGATAATTTTTGAACATTTGAGAGCCATTTACTAAAGGAATGAGATAAGAGCTGGATTGTAGTCTGGTCTTTCTAAACTAGATTTGGATGGAAAGCTACTATATTTTAATTAATTGTGTTAATATATTTCTAAACCTACTTTTACTTTTAGGGCAAGAAAACCAGCTGGTGGCATTGATTCCATATAGTGATCAGAGATTAAGGCCAAGAAGGACGTAAGTGACGATAAGAAAATAGCAAATTTTTTGGTATTCTTTGCTTTCCAAATTATATATAATTATTCTAGTTTAACACTATTAAAATGAAAAATGTCATCAGGTTGTAAGTTATACCATCAGATGCTTTATGTTATTTTTTTTAAAAAAAAAAAAAAGGATTCCTGGTTGGGGTAAGGTCCTCATAGCAGAGGAACATCTGAATCTTCTCAAATCTGTTTACTAAAACAGACAAACCTAGAATAGAAGTAGGAAACACAGCAACATTTTCATCGAAAATGAGTGTGAAGGTTCTCCTGTTCACCCCAGAATGAAAACAGAGCAAGAGTCAGAACATGTTAGCAGCTGTGGGGAATTTGTGAAGAGAAACAAAAAGAATTGCAGAAGGTCCTGAGAGCCCTGATAGACCAAGCAAATGCTCTGATACTCAGTTCCCAAGAAAAAGGGGATCCCACTTCCTTCAAATACTTCTGAGATTAACCTGTGAGAATAGGAGTCCTCCACTTCCTCTACCTTGGAGAGAGGGCAAAAAAAGCCCACAGAGATTCACCTAGGGGCCTTGAGAATATCCAGAAGGACCAACTTAAGACCTCAAAGACCTTAGGAAAACTTCCAAAAACTCTTGCAAAAGGACAGACATATTCTAAGGAAAAGCCTACTGGGGACTGAATCCATTTTGTAAGGGAAAGAATAGTGGAAAGGGAGGAAATGTTCAAGAACTAGAGAGAGAATCTCAGAACCACAGAAGTGGATATACATACAGGCCATCTTGAAAAAAATACTTCATATTATAACAGAGGATGGAATTGTTGAGCAGTGAAGCTAGGAAAGCCATCCTGGCTCATCCTCATGGAAACAAAGCTTCTGTAAAAAGTACAAAAACATCTCATTTAAACATGAACAACAACAAAATATTGCAGTGAAGTGTCACACAAAGTCAGTTAAAAAGAAACAAGAAGAAAGTGAATTGAAACAATATGCTGACAGATCATGGAAGCATATCAGAAAAACAAATGAAAACTATAACTTAAGAAAACTGCAGAAGCTGTGATAGAGCAGCATGACTTAGAAATTGAAAAGGTGATAAGTGAGATGACTAAACAATATGAGGACCTGAAAAGACTATGAACCCTTGAAAGAATTAGAAAACATTAATTTCAGAAATGAAGATAAGACTGAGGACACAGTGCAAACAGATACCATGGAAAGGATGGCAAAGGAAGGAGAAGGTACAAAGGAGTAAATGAGAATACAGACAGACATTAATGAAGAGTATTTAAGATAAAAGTGTATAGAGCACAAGGAAAGAAGAGTGAACATACATGTAATTGAAGCCCCTGTAGAAAAACCAAAAGAATCAAACTGATCAATACTAAATAATTCAATTCAAGAACACTTCCCTGAGGTAAAACAAGACATGAACCTACATATTGAAAAGACATGCCATGATCATAAATACGTGCTACCCATCCTACTGAAATTACTGGACTTTGAATGTAAACAAAACAAAACAAAACAAAACAAAACAAAACCCTTTGAAAAGCCCCAGGTTAGGGTGCCTGGATGGCTCAGTCAGTTAAGCGTCCAACTTCGGCTCAGGTCATGATCTTATGGTTCATGGGTTCGAGCCCCATGTCGGGCTCTGTGCTGACAGCCAGCTCAGAGCCTGGAGGCTGTTTCAGATTCTGTGTCTCCCTCTCTCTCTGACTCTTCCATGCTCATGCTGTCTCTCTCTCAGAAATAAATAAAACATTTAAAAATTTTTTTAAAAAAGCCCCAGGCAAAAGGATCAATTCATTTATAAGGGACAAAAGATCAGATTGGCATGCTTCTTGACCACAGTGCTCCAAACAAGTAATCCGTAGAGCAGCATATATAAATATTGTTGGAAAGAAAATGAACCAAAAATTTAAAAAAGTCAACCTGACCTTTCATTATAAATTATGTAGGGGGTTATAAATATTCAAGAAATTAGGTTTAATTCCCTTAGAATCCTAGGATGAAAAAAACTTAAAAAAATTTTGTTTTATTTATTTTTGAGATAAAGACAGAGCATGAGTAGGGGAGGGGCATAGAGAAAGAGGGAGACACAGAATCTGAAGCAGGCTCCAGGCTCTGAGCTGTCAGCACAGAACCCGATGCGGGGCTCAAACTCACCAACTGAGATCATGACCTGAGCTGAAGTCGGACACTTAACCAACTGAGCTACCCAGGCGCCCTGAGAAAAACTTTTCTAACTATGATTCAGAATCCAGTGAGGAAAGAAAAGATTGACAAAGTGTGGGTTACCTTTTACAAGTTGGAAACAAAACCTTAGTTGAAGCCACAGTTTAAATGGCAAACTGGGAAGCGATGTCTGCACATTACCACAAACATACGGCCAGTATCCTTACACTGTAAAGAGTTTCACAATTTGAGAGGAAAAGGGCACCACCAAACAAAAAGTGAATAAGAGTTATGAGCAGCTAATCCACAAGAAAGAAATGCAGATGTCCTATAAACATGTGAAAAGATGTTAGTCTGGCTCATAAAGAGAAATACAGATTAAAACATTGAAATACTATTTCTTACCTATAAGATTAGCCAGGCTCCAAATTTTGTTGGCAGTGTTATTTTGTTGGCAGCACTGTGTGAAATGAGCCCATCCATACCTTGTTAGTGAAGAGGAATTTGACATTATCTACTAAAATTACATAACACATTTACCCTTTGGTTTAGGAATTCTACTTTGAAAGTGTTTTTCTAAGGATAATTGTTAATAAAGTAGATGGCTTTTTATCCACTGTGCCAGTGTTTAATAATATAGCAAAGGACTAGAATCTATATACATCTATATAGCTATATATATAGCTATATATCTATATATATATATATCTATATATCTAAATAGCTATATAGCCAATAATAGGGTCTGGTAGAGTAAGTCACACTACATCTATACAATGATAACATGGAATAAGGAAGAACTCTGTATTGTAACTACAGTCCATATCCAGAGCATGTTTTTATCTGAAAACACACACATACATACAGAAAAGGAGAGAGAAACAATGGAATGATAAACCAGACTTATGAAATTGATTACTCTCAGAGTTTGGGAGGGAACTCGGAAGAGGGAACAGGTAAGCAAGTGAGATCTCTCTGTGTATGTGTATATATTTATATCGTTTGAACTGTAGAACCATGTACATTTTTTAAAATAGAGCTTAATAGTTCACAAATCTCAAGTAAAATGAAAAAAGCAATTCCTACTCATCGAAACAAACTGAAACAAATGATTCTAACTGTATATCCAATTGTTGGCATAACTACAGATGAAAGAATCACTTTAAGTGACATGAACACGTTGTACTTTGACTGTCAGTGTCTAGGAAGATGTGTTCTAAATGACAGAGACAACTACAAAAGTGCAAACTACTCAGTAGCCACATTGTTAGGAGTAACGTTAGTGTAATTTTGAAACGTTTATATGTAAAGCAGATAAGTAATTATGTACTAATGCCATTAGAGAATAAGATTCTTAGCCTGAAAACGAAGTGATACAAGTAGAAAGTCAAATAAATTTGGTTTTTTCGCTTCCAACCAAGATGGAATCATAGGGACTAGATTTATTCTTCTCTCTGAAACAACTAAAAAACTGGACAGGTAAGCGAAACAATATTTTTAGTCAGTGGACATCAAGTGGTACGGACAGTGATATCTGAGAAAGGGGAAGAGGCTAATGAGGTCAGCCCTACCATTGTACCATCTTACTGTCTGGGAAAAGATACCAGATCACAGCACAATGGAAAGAGTGCAGGCAGAGCTTAGCAATACCCCTGAACTGAGGAGATAGATGGTTCTGGGAATCTAAGAGGTCAAGACCGCAGTCAGTAGGGGATAGAGTCACCCTGGGTACTCCGTGAGGGTTTAGCTGAGTACTGATCAGTGTATATGTGTGAAGAAAGTACCTGAGGCTGAGGGAAGAATCATGCAAAACAGGTCAGAGGGAGCAGTCCTTAACGCTTACATAGGGCCAGAGATAGTTTTCACCAGTCAGTGTGGAAAATCTCATAATTCATAGGGAATCTGGTGGAGTACTCAGAAGGTTATTTCCATACTAACAACAAAAAAAATTAGCCCTAGATTAAAAGCTACAGTGCTCATGCTTAACAAGACCTAAAAGCAAACCTCAAAAGGTTTAAATTGTTTTCAAGAAACTCATGTCCCAATACAGAGCTCAAGAGTATGTGTAGGAATATTAAAATATCCAGCATTCAACATAGTAAAGTATATGAGTCTGGCATCCAGTTAAAAATTACCCGGGTTGGAAAGGATGAAAAATATAGCTCATAATGAGAAAGACCATTTGTAGAAACAGACCAATAAATGGCATAGAGGAAAGCATTAGACAAGGACAGTAAAATAATTACTTTAACTATATCCTGTATTTTCAAGAGTTGGAGCTTAAGAATAGACATAGAAGATATTTTAAAAAGATATAAGTAAAATGTCTAGAAATGAAAACTACAATATCTGAATGAGATGAAAACTACATGGGAAGAGATTAACAGCAAATTAGACACTTCAGAATAAAAGAGGAGTAAACTTAAATACATAGCAATAGTAAGTATTCAGAATGAGATATGAAGAGAAAAAAGTGAAAAAAAAAAAAAAGAACAAGGCATCAGTGGTGTGTGGAACACATTCAGGTGGCCTATGTGTATGTAATGGAAGGCTCTGAAAAAGAGGTGGGGAAAGGGACAGAATATATTTTCCATATTTTATGAAATATTATTGGAGGGCAACCTAGGCACTTTTTGAATACCTGTGAAATCAGTCATTGTTCTAAGGCCTGGGGATGTAATTTTTTCAAAGTTATCTTTAGTATAAGGGAATTATGATTTTATAGAGGAGACAGACATGGAAGCAAGTGATTATAGTATCTCTGTGTTACCTGTTAGAGGTATTTCCAGAGTGCTATAAGAGCAGAGTACGGTAGTATCTAAATTATTTTATGAAATTAGGGAAGGCTCCAAAGAAAATGAAGCATTAGCTGAATCTTAGAAAAGTAGAAAAAAGAAAGTTGAGGTGGATTGTTCAGACAGAGGGAACAGCATGTCCGTGGACAGGAGTAATAGCCTGGCACTCAGAAGTGTGCCTAAAGTAAACAGTGCTGTTGGAAGGTGATAGAGATGAAGCTTGGGAAAATAATAAAAGGCCCATATCTTGACAATATTAGTAAGCTAAGAAATCTGAAAACCATAGGCAGCCGCTTAAGAATTCTTAGGAGTTTCAGATGTGCAATAAAAAAACAATAACTCGCAATTGTTAGTCAAACTATATTTTATGAACAACTCTGGTTCTTTATTTGCAAGTTGGGGGAGTTGTGATGAGGTAGTTAGGAAATTATATTCATTGCTTTTGTCTGCATATTTTAGCTGTATCATTTAATCCTCAAAACACACCTACAGATTTTCTTTTCTTTTCTTTTTTAATTTTTAAAATTTATTTCTGAGAGAGAGAGGGAGACACAGAATCTGAAGCAGGCTCCAGGCTCTGAGCTGGCTGTCAGCACAGAGCCCGACGCGGGGCTCGAACCCACGAACTGTGAGATCATGACCTGAGCTGAAGTCGGCCACTCAACCAACCGAGCCACCCAGGCACCCCACAAACCTACAGATTTTAAAGTGGAGGCAAAAAGGGGTGCCTGGGTGGTTCAGTTGATTAAGTGTCCAGCTTCGGCTCAGATCATGATCTCGCAGTTCGTGGGTTCGCCCCACGTCGGGCTCTGTGCTGAAAGCCAGCTCAGAGCCTGGAGCCTGTTACAGATTCTGTGTCTCCCTCTCTCTCTGGCCCTCCCCTGCTATTGCTCTCTCTCTCTCTCTCTCAGAAATAAATTTAAAAAATTTTAAAAATTAAATCTTTGTTTTATTTATTTTTAATGAAACATTTGTTCTCTTCGAATACACAGAAACATTTATAAAACATGTGCAAGAGTCACTTGAAGTAACAGTTGTGGGGCAGGCAAAGATTACATCTGTCAAGGCATTTGGGAGTTGGTGGGGAAGAGAAAGTGGAAGAAAGGATAAAATGAGAATTTTTTGAATAAAACATAAAGATGAAGTAAGTGACATACGAGACCTAGTTTAAAAAAAAGGTGCTGTGCACTGAGCTGAGAACTGTTTATTGGAGAAACCAGGAAAATTTTATTTTGATACTCTATTTTGAGGGTAATATTGAAGATAGAGGCAATTTTTATCTCTGGGGATTCTAAATAAAAAGTGGGAGATGAAAGATGTTTCAAGGAGAGTTAGAAAACTAGCAAAGGCAAAGGAAGTTTTTTCTTGTCTTATGTCTGCATATTATTATCCCCTTTCTTGATTTTCAAGGAACAGCTTAACAGCATCATCAAAGCAGAGTTGATTAATGTAAACAATATTTTGAAAACTAAATACATAAATACTTTGGGATGAGCAGACTCAAAAAGTCTCAGTGACACTTAGTGAGGTTGATGAGACATGTGGTTATATCATTATGTTTTTAAGGGCTACACAGGTGGTTCTTAACAGTCACTTTGGGAATCATATAATGGCAGAACTCAATTGAAAATTCTGCTCTAGTAAATTCAGAAAGAGAAGGGACTCTTGAAATCCACATTTTTATAAAGTTGCCCGGCTTAATTAATTCTAGTGTGCAGCGTGGTTGAGGAATCAGTAAATGTTCTACCTGCAGTAACCCTGAAATCCCAGTCTCCAAAAAAGTACATACATCTTTTAAGGAAAACATTTTGATACTTGATAGACCAAACCCAACCCTATTAATTACTTTTATAATATTAAAAAAACAGGTAAAATTATACATCTCTTCCTGCTGGTATAATATGGGAAAAATTCAAGTTGAAAATATCTTCTCTAAATGTTTCATTATGTAATTTTTGATGCACATGTATTTTAATGCTACCATTTTTCTTTTCAGAAAGCTGTATGTGATGGCTTCTGTGTTTGTTTGTCTGCTCCTTTCTGGATTGGCTGTGTTTTTCCTTTTCCCCCGCTCTATTGACGTGAAATACATTGGTGTAAAATCAGCATACGTCAGTTATGATGTTCAAAAGCGTACAGTATATTTAAATATCACGGTAAGTACAAGTTTACATTAAAATATTTGACTTCCTTCCTTTATGATATTAAGTACACCTTTGTCCCTCTGAGAGAATATTAAATATGACACTGGTCAGTTTGCTTTTTGTATATCTGCTGTTGATCTTCTCTGTCATTTCTGGTTGTGCCAAAAATGACAAATAGTAAATGCTGGTAATTGTGTATACAGAATCATTTATTGTTTGACAGGGCCTTTAAGATGATAAACTATTCCTGACAAAAAAATATTTACAGTCTGTTTACTTTTCAACTTTTGACTCTGAATAACTCCTAGCAAAGTGTCAAAGTAGGTTGATTGTATAAATGTTATAAAGATAACATTTTCTTTTCCTTGTATTTGGTGAAATACAGTTTTTGCCATTTTAACAGACTATTCCTTTATTGTGTTTAAAGATAAGGTACAAGTGCTTGTTTGATTTTTCTCTTACAAATTAGTATGTGAGGAAATGTCCTCAGTGTTTTCCTGATCAGTGAGTTTTAGTACTCGCTACAGCCTCCCCACTCCTGAAAACAACAAATAAAACCTCAGAGAAAGTTTGCCTGTTTATGTGTTAACATTTGCTTGAAAAATGCATGGTTTGCAAACCACTGTATTATTAAAAAGGAAATGTGTATTGGTCATGCCATTAGCAATTGTTTATGGCTTTAGGCCTCAAGGTGCATCTGTGTGACATTGGGGTTTTTTTGTTTTTTGGGGGGGGGGGGTTTGTTTTGTTTTGTTTTTTGCAAGAGCGATATGGGACTTTAGTTGGTTTTCCTCACAGAGATGGTTGGTATGCTTGAAGTGGAAGTAGATATGTATCCAGTGGTAGTTGGGAGGCGAGCGGTTTGGAGAGAGAGGACTGTAAGGGGCTGGTATGTTAAAGTGGAATTATTCATTAATTACAGGAACACAGAGAACTCCCATGGATCCATTTAACCTCATTGCTTACCATCAAAAGTTGTCAGTCTACTTTAATCTGTGGGAAAAACATGTACATAAACAGCACAATGCTAATTGTAAATAATTTCATTTGACTGGCAAATTTGAGTATTTTCTCACTGTAACAGCGATCCCGGATGAAGAATATGTTTTTCTTTTTGTACAGTGTTTAAAAAAGTGGTCAGATTTTCTTGGCCAGTTTCCAAAGCCTTTTAGTATCAAATATTGTAAATTTATAATAAAAATAAAAGTCATGTCATGTTTCCTTTTAAGTATGTGTATTTAAATGTAAATATCATATATAATTATTCAGGAATTCCCAGTTTTTAGGGTATTAACACTTAACTGAAAAGGTTTGAACATTATATAAGAAATAACATTATTTTAAAAAAAAGAAATAGCAGTATTATATAAGATAAACATTAAGTTTGGGTAGAGATGATAGGTTGAGTTTCCCATAAGTTCTGTGTCAGTATTTTGAAAAAAAGAATTATATAATGTTGTTTTTATTTCTTGATATGAGTAATGTATAGTAGTATTACTTACTCTTTTTTAGTAACATTTGTCTTTCTACTTATGATTAAATTTTTATTATACATTTGAAAAATACTGTGTATATTTTTACTTCTACCTAGACATAACTATTAGTATATATACTTGTTAATGATACATATATACATTTGCATACATATATGCATTTATAAATATAGTCAAACATTTTCATAGGTTTATAAGGGATACACACATTTGTGCAAGTGTATACACTTGCACATTTTACTTTAACTGAGATCTTAACAGTTTCCCATGTTAAGTGGTCTCTTGTAATCTTTTACATGGCTATATTACAGATTTACTCACCATTTTCTTAATAGATACTTAATTTTGCTATTGCAAATATTCAGAAAACTCCTTTGTATTTAAGCCCTGTTTCTATTTCAGGTTATTTCTATAGGATAAATTCCTGTAACTAAAGATCACAGATAGTTTAAGGCCTTTGATAATAACTCATTGTTTAAGGTATGCCTGGGTTGCTCAGTTGGTTAAGTGTCTGACTTTGGCTCAGGTCATGATCTCACGGTTTGTAGGTTCGAGCCCTGTGTTGGGCTCTGTGATGACAGCTCAGAGCCTGGAGCCTGCTTCGAGGTCTGTGTCTCCCTCTCTCTCTGTCCCTCGTCTACTCTCTCTCTCTCTCAAAATACATAAACATTAAAAAAATTTAAAAATCATTATTTAAAAGCTTGTGGTTATACTCTCTAAATTAAGTGGATTTTTACTGCTCTTAGCAGTAAAATGTCTTGATAGTTCTAAATTTTTTGTCTTTTTTTTTTTTTTTCGTCTTTCTCAGTGTTTATCTTTGTTACCTTTCTAGACTTCAATGTATCGTTGATCCCTTTAATATTCTCATGAAAGCTATGGGCACTTCAGAAAAAGACACATACCAACATTATTTTTCATATACAAAGGATTCTGAGATTCTTCTGAATCCCATTCTTTGGCCTGTATCAGAGCGTCCATTGACCTTAAATTAACAATCCTGTCTAGAAATTAAACTGACATAGCAGTCAAGTAGATAAAAATATTTGTATATTTAGTTCATGGTTTATTTCTACTATATTATGGAATTTAAAAAATCTCTAAATTTATAACTATTATTTAAATTAATGCATAAATGTGATCATGTAATGGCTGATCACTAGCACATTCTTTTATTTAATCCTTTACTGAGATTCTGCTTTCCACTTATCCCTTATTGCATCTTTTCATCTTTCTCCATATTCATATTAATTTATAAGCTGAAGTGTTCAGCTTTTCTTAAATAATTATTTTCAAAAGAACAATATTTTTTACATATTTTATGCATGTTGGTTTTCTCACTTGTTAATACCTTGTAGAAATCTCTCCTACTAAATTTCTGGGTTAGTTTTACTCCATGCTTTTTAATAGGCTGCATAATATTCCATGCAATAATTTAATACTAACTAATCATTATTTTTGTGGATGGGCCTTCACTTTTTCTTTTTGTTTTTACCACTATTGTCATTAACATGCTAAATGTTTTTATTTCTTTGGAATAAATGCTCCAGAAAGTAGGATTTCTAGGTCAAAGGATATATGTTATTTTTATCTTAATGGATATTGCTAGGTTACTTACAGAATGGCTGCAATGTTTCCCATGTTTCCCAGCAATGTAAAAATTGACCCTTTTGCTCAGATCCCCACCAAGAATAGAATTCTTTCTACAAGCTTTCCTAGTTTAATGAATATTAAGTTTACTAGCTTATCTCCAACTCTATGAGGGTTTTTAAATGTTTCTTGGCCAATTATATTTGTACTCTTTTGATTTGTTTACTCATATACTTTGCTTTTTTTAAAAAACCTCTAAAGGCTTTGTCGTTTTCTTTTCAGTTTGTGAGGGCTCTTTGTATAGATGGTAACCATTACATTCACCCCTACAAATACTTAAGATTCATTGTTTAGTTACTATCGATTTTCTTTGGTGATTACTGTTTTCGATGTTTTATTTGTTATCTTTTATTTCTTGATTTAACATTTTTTCTTCACTGTTCATTTTCTAAAATATTTTGACATAGTTGTGAATTAGAATTGTGGAAATTACCCCTGCTGTTAAGTGTAGAAATGATGTTGCTCCATTTCTTTCCAAGAAATAGACTTGAATCTATCCCATTTCTTCTCCAAAGTGACCTGGTGGAAATCTCTACTCGTGTATAAGTTTAAAACTCCAATTCTTTCAAATGAAAAAGTTTATATAAAGTGCTGTTTAACATTTTAAATGGTTATTTTTGTACCTGATAGAATAGGAAATACCTTACTAATATAGTCCACGAAGACATTTATATATTAACATTTAGTAGAAATTTAGATGAAATTCAAGAATTATTTTTATAGAATTTTTGCTAAATACATAAATACATTTTCTAACATTTATTTTCTATATTCCTGTAATGTACATTTTCTGAGCCTTTTATTTATTTATTTTTTTAACATTTATTTATTTTTGAGAGAGAGAGAGAGTGAGCGCACAAGCAGGGGAGAAGGGAAGAGAGTCTGAAGCAGGCTCCAGGTTCCAAGCTGTCAGCACAGAGCCTGATGCAGGGCTTGGACTCCGGAACCATGAGATAATGACCTGAGCCAGAGTCAGACGCCCAAGTGAATAAACAAGCCATACGACCCGTGTTCCTGTTATTTTTTAATTGTGTTTGTGGTCTGCATATTATATACGTAGTATTCATCATAAAACCTAGTAATCAGTTTATTTAATGTCCTTTGGTATTTTTGGCAATATTTTTCTTACTCTTAATAACTGAAACATGGCCACAGCTGAAGTCATTTGTTCTTTTAATGTTTGTTTATTTTTGAGAGAGAGACACAGTGTGAGCTGGGGAGGGGCAGAGAGAGAGAGAAGGAGACACAATCCAAAGCAGGCCCCAGGCTCTGAGCTGTCAGCACAGAGTCCGACGTGGGGCTCAAACCCACAGACTGTGAGATGGTGACCTAAACTGAAGTTGGACGTTTAACCGACTGAGCCACCCAGGTGCTCCTAAAGTCATTTTTTAAAATTAATTTTGAATACGTATTTGTTATGCTTATACATTTTCTCCCTACTGTCTTTTGCAGAACACCTTAAATATAACAAACAATAACTATTATTCTGTTGAAGTTGAAAATATCACTGCACAAGTTCAGTTTTCAAAAACGGTTATTGGAAAGGCTCGTTTAAACAATATAACCAATATTGGCCCACTGGATATGAAACAAGTAAGTTTCCAACAAGAAATACTTTGGAGGAGTTCATTGACTCTTGACTTTCTGTATCATATTAACTTGAGGGAGGGGGAGGATTTCCTCAAAAACTTGACGTTGACATATGTTCCATGCATCTATAAGAGAAAGTCTTAGACTCAGCCTTGCAAAAAGGGAGAGATTTGTAAACTCTCTGAAATTGTGAAACGTCTGAAGTCTTTGATGCTTTGTTCCTCTTTCCAGTTGGCTTATTTTCATTTTTTGCCTTTCAGATCGATTATACAGTACCTACTATCATAGCAGAGGAAATGAGTTATATGTAGTAAGTTTTGATTTTTGAATAATGTTCTCTCATTAAATTATAAAATATCAAGAATAGAGTGTATGGATAGCTTTTTAATTTCCCACAATCTTAGCAGTCAAGAAATCACATTTTGGAATACTCCTTCTGGCCTCTGATCATCTCTTCTCTTCTCCCTTGTCAACATGCATAATATTTATGTATATTATGTATTTGTACACTTAATATTAATTTTTTCTAATTTTTCATAATTAAGGTCAAATACACCGTGTCACCTTTTTAAAACAAGTTATTTTTATTTAAATTCAAGTTAGTTAACATATAGTATAGTATTGGTTTCAGGAGTAGAATCCAGTGATTCATCACCTACTAATAACACTCACTGCTTATCCCAACAGGTGCTCTCCTTAATGCCTATCACCCATTTAACCCATCCCCTCACTGAACTCCCTTCCTGCAACCTCAATTTGTTCTTTTTATATAATAGTCTCTTATGGTTTCCTTCCTTCTCTATTATCTTATTTTTCCTTCCCTTCCCCTTTCTTCATCTGTTTCTTATAATGCACATATGAGTGAAATCATACTTGTCTTTCTCTGACTGACTTATTTCATTTAGCAAAATACATGGCAAGATTTCATTCTTTCTTGATGAGAGTAATATTCCATTGTATGCATGTATGGTGCGTATATTATATATACTTATTACATACATATACACACATATGCATACATATGTACATACATATACGTATGTATAGCATACATATGTATATACAATATACACATATGTATACTACATATACATATATATAATAGACACACATGCATACAATGGAATATTATACATTATATATACATTACATTATATATATGTTTATATGTATGTATATACACACACACACCACATTTCTTCATCCATGTATCAGCTGATGAACATTTAGGCTCTTTCCATACTTTGGCTATTGTTGATAGCACTGTTGTAAACATTGGGGTACATGTTCCCCTTTGAATCAGCATTTTTGTATCCTTTTGATAAATACTGGGTAGTGGAATTGCTAGGTTGTAATTTTAATTTTTTGAGGAACTTCCATACTGTTTTCCAGAGTGGCTGCACCAGTTTGCATTCCCACCAACAGTGCAAAAGTGTTTCCCTTTCTCCACATCCTCGCCAACATCTGTTGTTTCCAGAGTTGTTAATTTTAGCTACTCTGACGAGTGTGTCATATCTCCTGGTGATTTTGATTTGTGTTTCTCTGATGATGAGTGATGTTGAGCATTTTTTCATGTGTCTGTTAGCCATCTGGATGTCTTCTTTGGAGGTGTCTATTCATGTCTTTTGTCTGTTTCCTCGCTGGATTATTTGTTTTCTGGGTGTCGAGTTTGATAAATTCTTTATAGATTTTGGATCCTAACCCTTTATCTGCTATGTCATTTGCATATATCTTCTCCCATTCCATAGGCTGCCTTTTAGTTTTGTTGATTGTTTCTTTCACCATGCAGAAGCCTTTTATCTTGATGAAGTCCCAGTAGTTCATTTTTGCTTTTGTTTCCCTTGCTTCCAAAGACATGTCTAGTAAGAAGTTGCTGTGGCCAAGATCACAGAGGTTGTTCTCTGTTTTCTCCTGAATGATTTTGACAGTTTCCTGTCTCACATTTAGGTCTTTCATCTATTTTGAGTCTATATTTGTGTATGGTGTATAAGAAAAGTGCTCCATTTTGTTCTTTTGCATGTCCCTGTCCAGTTTTTCCACCATTTGCTGAAGAGACTGTCTTATTTCCATTGGATATTCTTTCCTGCTTTGTTGAAGATTAATTAGTTGGCCATACATTTTTGGGTCCATTTCTGAGTTCTCTATTCTGTTCCATTGACCTGTATGTTTGTTTTTGTGCCAGTACCATACTGTCATTATAATAGAGCTCAAAGTCCAAAATTGTGATGCCTCAGCTTTGGTTTTCTTTTTCAGGATTGCTTTGGCTATTCAGGGTCTTTTCTGGTTGCATACAAATTTTAGAATTGCTTGTTCTAGTTCTGTGAAGAATGCTGGTGTTATTTTGATAGAGATTGCATTGAATATGTATACTGCTTTGGGTAATTTTGACATTTTAATAATACTTGCTCTTCCAATCCATGAACATGGAATGTTTTTCCTTTTCTTTGTGTCTTTTTCAGTTTCTTTCGTAAGCTCTATCATTTTCAGCATACTTATCTTTTACCTCTTTGGTTATGTTTATTCCTGGGTATCTACTGGTTGTAGTGCAATTATAAATGGGATCAATTCTTTGATTTCTCTTTCTGTAAAGGATTATTGGTGTATAGAAATGCAACCGATTTCTGTATTTTTTTTTTAATATCCTGTGACTTTGCTGAAATCATGTATCAGTTCTAGCAGTGTTTCCATGGAGTCTTTTGAGTTTTCCACATAGTGTATCATGTCATCTGCCAAGAGTGAAAATTTGACTTCTTCCTTGACATTTGTATGACTTCTGTTTATTTTTGTTTCCTAATTGCTGAGGCGAGGACTTTCAGTACTGTGTTGAACAACAGTGGTGAGAGTAGACATCCCTGTAGTGCTCCTTACCTTAGGGGGAAAGCTCTCAGTTTCTTCCCATGAGGATGATATTAGCAGCGGCTCGTTCATATATGGCTTTTATTATTATGGAGTATGTTCATGCTATCCCTATTTTCTTGAGAGTTTTGATCAAGAAAGGGTATATTTTGCCAAATGCTTTTCCTGCATCTATTGAGAAAATCATGGTTCTTATCCTTTTATTAATGTGGTGTATCATGTTGATTGATTTGCAGATATTGAACCAGCCCTCCAGCCTAGGAATAAACTTGCGAATATTGAACCAGCCGTGTAGCCTAGGAATAAATTCCATGTGATCATGGAGAATAATTCTTTTAATATATATTCTTTTGAATTCCGTTTGCTAGGATCTTGTTGAAAAGTTTTACATGCAGTTTCATCAGGGATATTGGCCTGTAATTCTCCTTTTTAGTCGATCTTTGTCTGGTTTTAGAATCAAGGTAATGCTGTCTTCATAGAATGAGTTTGGAAGCTTTTCTTCCATTTCTATTTTTTGGAACAATTTGACAATAAGTGTTAACTCTTCTTTAAATGTCTTGTCGAATCCCTCTGGGAAACCATCTGGCCCAGGACTCTTATTTGTTGAGATTTTTGATAACTGATTCAGTTTCTTTGCTGGTTATGCTGTTTCTTCCTGTTTCAGTTTTGGTACTTTTAAGTTTCTAGGAATATGTCCATTTCTTCTAGATTGCCGTTTGTTGGCATATAATTTTTCATAGTATTCTCTTATAATTGCATTTCTCTCGTGTTGGTTGTAACTTCTCTTTCATTTGTGATTTTATATATTTGGGTCCTCTATTCTTTTTGATAAGTCCTGCTAAGGGGTTATCAATTTTTTTTATTCCTTCAAAGAATCATTATTTAGTTTCATGGATCTGTTATACTGGTTTTTTTTTGTTGTTGTTCTATATTATTTCTGTATTAAGTCCCTTCTTGTACTGGCTTTAGGCCTTATTTGCTGCTCCTTTTCTAGCTCCTTTAGGTATGAGGTTAGGTTGTGTATTGGGAGACTTTTCTTGCTTCTTGAAGATCTTTCTTGCAATATACTTCCCTCTTAGGATTGCCTTTGCTGCCTCCCAGAAGTTCTGGACTGTCATGTTTTCGTTTTCATTTGCTCCCATGTATTTTTTTATTTCTTTTTTAATTTCGTGGTTAACCCATTCACTCTTTAGTAGGATGTTCTTTAACCACCATGTATTTGAGGTCTTTCCAAATTTTTTGTAGTGGTTGACTTCAAGTTTCATAGTGTTATGATCTGAAAATATACATGGTATGTTCTCGATCTTCTTGTACCTTACTGATTTGTGACCTGGTATACAGTCTATTCTGGAGAATATTCCATGGACACTTAAGAATGTCTCTTCTGCTGCTTTAGGATCCAGTGTTCTGAATATATCTGTTAAGTTCATCTGGTCCAGTGTATCATTCAAAGCCATAGTTTCCTTGTTGATTTTCTGCTTAAATGATCTGTTCATTGCTGTAAGAGGAGTACTAAACTCTCTTATTAGTATGGTATTATTATCAGTAAGCTTCTTTATGTTTGTTATTAACTGATTTATATATTTGGGTGCCTGCACGTTGGGGCATAAATATTTACAATTGTTAGATCTTGATGGATAGGTACCCTTAATTATGGTAGAATGTCCTCATTTCTTGTTATAGTTTTTATTTTAAAATCTAGTTTGTCTGATATAAGTATGGCTATTCTGGCTTTCTTTTGATGTCCATTAGCGTGATAGATGGTTCTCCATCCCCTCACTTTCAGTCCACAGTTGTCTTAGGTCTAAAATGAGTCTCTTGTAGGCAATATATAGATAGATCTTGGGCTTTTTTTTTTTTTTTTTTTTAATCCATTCTGATACCCTGTGTCTTTTGATTGGATCATTTAATCCATTTACATTCAGAGTGGTTATTGAAATATATGAATTTAGTGCCATTGTGTTTGTTACCTGTAGAGTTGGTGTTTCTGGTGATGTTCCCTGGTCTTTTTATTCTTTGTTGCTTTGGTCTTTTTTTTTTTTTTTTTTCGCTCCACTCAGAGAGTCCCTTTTAAAAATCCTTGTTGGTTTAGTGGTCACAAACTCCTTTAGTATTTGTCTTGGAAACTATTTCTCCTTGTAGTCTTAATGACAGCCTTGCTGGATAAAGAATTCTTGGTTGCATATTTTTTCCATTCAGCACACTATGTCACTTTTTATTTACTATATTATGAGAACCATAGTATCGTACATTTTAGTATTTGCTGACGTTTTCATATAGGAGAACTAAAATTGCTAGTATTATATTCTACTGTTGAAGCTCTAAAGCTTTACATTGGGCCTAGGTGATTATTAACTCTTGTTAAGTAAAAAAAAGTTACATTTTTATGTATCTTCTTATCATCTTTTAGTATCAGGTTGACATAGAACAGTTAGTAAACAAACTGTTGACTAAAATTTGAAAAGGTGAATAAAAACTAGCAGTAATTTGTAGCCAGTGTGAAACAACTCTACAACTGCTGTAGTAAAACAGCATGTCTATTTTCAGAATAAAGAGTCATGAAAATGTTTCTCTTTATTAGGTGTAGAAAATATTCAGTCAATAAATGCTTATATCTTTTATCATATCTCTATTAGCTTTAACATAGGGAGGGGAATCATAATTAAGTCATTTTAAATTTATATTATCATAGCTGCATTAACTCACATTGTCTTTTCTTTTTAACAGTGATTTCTGTACACTGATATCAATCAAAGTTCATAATATCGTAGTCATGATGCAGTAAGTATGAATTGTTTTTAATAAATTTCTTTGTTAAACTTTAGATTTATAACTTTGGCTTATAGTATACACAACACCTTTACAAATATCAGTTCGGTCAGGTTTTAAGCCTCAAAAGAGTGCGATGAGATGAGTAGATATTTTCCCACTTTAAGAATGAGGAAATGGGGAGCTCGGAGAAGTAGTGAATCTAGACCTTGTAAGAACACAGGAAAATGGCAGGGGTTGGCATGAAGGGGACAGAGCTCAGCATTAGTGTTCTGCTACCTGTGGTAAATAGTCCTTAGCAGTAATGAGAAGTACTGTTACTGGTTTGTAATTGGATGTGATTCTAGGGCATTAAAGCATTGTAGGTTATAGGTTTGGTATTTGGACCATTAGCTGACATTTGAATAACCCTTTTCCTATGATGAGAGAATTTTATTTTTAAAAGTGAAATGAACTTACATAATTTAACTAATGATAAATGTTCTGAAAACATTGTATTTGTTATGTATAGTTATTTGAGTAGGGCTTGCTAAACCAGCATTTATGTTATCTGTTGGGAAAATATTCTCTGAGAGGCCCATGTCCACAATATTATCATTAATCTATCTCTCCTTGGAGAAAATTTTGATACATGAAAGTATTCTCAGTTAAGAAAACTTCTGTGTAAATAACAATTTAATGTGTCTCCCCATTTGAGTTTTTTTTATTGTTTTCTTTTTTAGAGTTACTGTGACAACAACATACTTTGGACACTCTGAACAGATATCCCAGGAAAGATACCAGTATGTTGATTGCGGAAGGAACACAACTTACCAGTTGGGTCAGTCTGAGTATCTAAATGTACTTCAGCCACAGCAGTAAAAACTGAAGGAGATGCCACTGGAGAAGAAATCCCTATTGATATTTTCCAGAACTCTGAAGGATGAGGTACTTACTTCCTGATAGGAGATCTTAAATTGAAGAAACCTAAAGTTTACACCTTCCATTTTAGGGGTACAGGTAAAAGCATGTGGACTCCAACATTACTGCAGCACTCGACTCTGGTATGTTATCTGTACCAGGATCTTTTACTTGAATCTAAATTTATCAGTTGATTTTCTTCCCCCCTCTCCCGATAGGGGGAAATTGAGACTTCCCATGTAGGACAGTAAATAATTACTTAACAATTCACAGCTTAAGTCACTACTAAAAACCTAATTTTGATTATGAACATAATTTGAGAAACTTTATTTCTGAATGCTTTTACAGAGTATTACTGAGAGCCTGTAATTCATGAAAGACTTTTAAAAAATAACTTTTTTTTCTGTTTTATAAATTCCCATTGCTACATAGTAGGATTTCAAGATATTTTAGCTTTTAGCTAAACATTTGTGGTTTTTCATTTGTTGAAATTCTACTCATTTGCACGTTTTTGTCAGTCTTATTTCAAGCCAGTGCTTGCATAACACTAGAAACCAGAATAATCTCTGCAAAATTATGAACCTAAAATTTTTGAAGGACCCGTTTCACATGTCTTTCCATCGAAGTAAGTTTTGTGAAATTTTTATGTAGTCTTCAAACATCGTTATTGTATAATATTGTAAATAAACTGTGCATGGCTTTTATACAGCTTTAATAAATGTCGAATAAAGTTCAGATTCAAAATAAAGTAAGTTGCTCATAAAAATACATAAAATGGGAAACTGAAATTCAGAAACTTATAGAATGTGAATATGGTTCCAGTTACATACAGAATCAGGCATCACGTAATTTTGAAATAAAGTATTTTGATGCTCCACTTTTTTTTAGACTAACAAGTTGTGGAGACACTTTTCACAACTCTTAGGTACCCAAGTCACCCATGTCATCCATTTTATGCCTGTTTTTAAGGAGGAAATTATGTCTTTGGTAGAAATTCCCCAAGAAATCTTATTAAATAATGGTGGCTATATATTAAAAAAACAAACAAACGTGTATTATGCTTTTTAAAAATTTATTCACTTTGCACATCACATGGATATCATGCCACTAGCAGTTAACATTTTTATTAAATTTTCAGCTTTTTGTTTGGATTTAATTTAAAACCGTTTTCAAGTGGAAATCACTGACTCTTGCATTTTGTCATCTTACAGTTTCAACACCATTTTCTATTTGGGATTCATGCCTTTTCACTTACCAAGTTCTAATTACCTTGTAAATATATACCACTGAGGGTAGGGACCAATTGTGATACCAAAAAAATAAAAATAAAAAATAAGTGGCTTGAGATTGATTTCCTTTCTGCTCTTTGGAGACAGAAGTCAGGTTCCCTCTCCCTCAAAGTGCCTAACTTAGGTCTGAAAAATACCTGTTTATCAGTCGGACTCTCTGAGCTGTTACAAACAAGCTTCGTTTAATTATTTAGAGCTAATGAAGTCTTTGTTCTGCCTTTAAACACACTCAGGTCTCCCCTTAGTGTTCATATAATTTTCTCCAAGTTTTCCTGAGTGAACATTTTAAATGGGTAGAATGCACAAACTTTTTTTTAACTGATTGTTTTACCTTAATCTGTTCCTAACTCATCCATCTTTGCTATTAAAGTCACCCCATTCCATTGTTACAGACTCACTAGTCAGACCCAGCCTTCATGTTTTTGTCTTCTGTGATTTTTGACTACTCCCGTTCTCCTTGAAACTGAATACCCCTCTCATATTTTGATTCTATTTGTATTTTTCAAATCATTCTCATTTCATTTTCCCTCATTCTGTCTTTTGACAGATCTTTTGATCTTTTCATGAGTATTATCTAGACACTCTTTTGCCTCAAAATTTCTACCCCCTGTGACTTTAACCAGTAATCATCTGTATTAGGGCTTCCAAATCTTTCTACATATCTGACCAGTCACCTGTCAAGCTGCTTCTCATTTAGCTAGTGACCTAGAGATGATAGTATTTCAATGACTCTGTATAAATCATCAAATGTTTTAAAAATGTTTATCATTCTGTTCTGTTCTCTTCTTGTCCTCATGTCCCATTCACTTCAAAATCACCCTTCAGATACGCCTCCTTCAAAAATCAATCCTGATGTATTTCCTGCTCTGTGTCTTTTAACCTTGCAAAATATGTAGTGTAAGTTGAATGGATTTTTGTATTGATTTGTGGTTCTGATATCGTTTTGAAGTGCATGCTTAGTATTTGCTGAAGAGACAGGACAGTGAAGGAACATTTGCTTTTAATGACTTAGTTTTGAATGTTTTTTCTTCATTTTAAAAAATTAAAACTCTTTTATTATACCTACTTTCCATGAAGCATAAGGTAGAAAAACCTAGAATTTAAAATAAGTGCAAACCAGTAGTAGAGGAAAAAAAGATCACCTGTGACGACTTTCAGAGACGTTTAAGCAACTTGCCAGAAAAAGCCTGGAACAGAACAGGCTATAAGTTACTAAATTACAAAAACACATTCAGGTGAAACAGAATTACAGCCATTTAAAAAAGAAAAAACAGGGAAGAATGAGCACTGTCCACTGTATTTTTTCTTACATAGTAACAGGATAGATCGCAATATATATTTTTTAAAACTGCTTTTAGATCTTATTCAAAAGATAGGGTAAAGATGTTACATTTTTTCCCCTGATACTCTCAAGAATAACTTTTTTCTTAAATTACAGTTTTAATAGGTCATTCTAACCAAATCCAACAAGTCTCCGTGTGTTGATATTATATGTATCTAACACTATGCCCTTGTAAAGCGTTTCCCTGTGTTTTTCTTATATAATTTACCTGGTCCAGTGAGTCAGACAAAGGAGAGGGGCAGGATCCTCATCTTTTAGAAGAGGAAGAAGTGGCATGGAGAGGTTAAGGGACTTGCTGAAGATCACATATTTAGGAAATAGTCTTATTGGGGCCAGACCTAATTTTTTTTGTCTCCTGTGTGTGTCCTCTATCATTTAAAAGAAGAGTCCATTGAGAAGCCCTGTTAACTTAGGTTAGTATGTTTAAAGATCAGAGAACACATTCACATAGTTCACAGTGACAATCAAAATAATACTGATGGGCTAAGATTTGGATACCTTTAAGTTGGTACCTGAAATATTTTAAATGGAAAATGAGCATTTGTGAAATAATTTGGAGTATAATCTATAGCTGAATTTTTCTGTTAAAATTTAGTATTTCTTGGTTATTCCAATAAAGATATTACTGATACACTGTGAAACTGAGCTATATATAAATAATAGAAATTAATGTATTTGAGATCTGAAATAAGAACAGTGTGAAAATATTAGATACCAGATAAATTGCTTGAAATTGCTAAATAACCACCTTTACTATGGTACATCATATATAAATGACTGGTTTTAATTGTGAGCAGTTTTTCTGTGCCTTTTTCATTTATTTAGGCCAGTGAGGTAATTATTTTCTCTAAGATTCGTGATAAAAAAATTCAGTTGAGGTCTTTTGAGTTGTAATTTGGAAGTGATACAGTAGTGTTCAAATAGAGGGAAAGTGATTGCCAAAATACAATAAAGGTATCATTATTGCAATATAGGGGTGTTTTGTTGTAGGGCATGTCCCCAGCTCCCTTCCACATCATTTTTTTAAATTCTTAAAATAAATAATTCTTCATATGATTATATTTTATTTAAGAAAATAGTTTGTTGGATACTCAGCCCCAAAGGAAGTCACTGCTTAGTATAGCTAATATCTGTTAGTTACTTACTGTGTCAGATGCTGTAGCAGTCTCTTATGTGCATTATCTGATTGTTCCTCAGAAAGCCCTATAAGGTAGATACTGACATTGCCCCCCCTTCCCCCCATTTTAAATCTGAGGAAACAGACTTTTAGAGAAGAAATACATAAGCTTGGAAGTGGCAGACTTGAGATTCAAAACATGACTTATGACTCAAACTTAATTGCTTTTAAAATTAGCATATTTTCTTTCCAGCCTTTGAAGATGTTTTGCTTGTAAAAATATATTGGTTGTTGCACTTAATATATATAAGATTTTGAAGTTTTTGATAGTATTTTCAAAAATACTATTAAGATACTTTATTATTTTATAGCTCTTTGGTATGATAAAAATGGCTTATCAGTGATTTTTTAAATGATTCATACTTATCTGTTAGGAATTTTTTTTCTTTTTAAAAGATGTAAAATTTTAAATTGACAAATACACATCAGACTTCTTTGGTCGGCAGTATGAATTGAATTTCAAGTTACTACGTTGGAAGCCAAAGGTTACTTACGATAGTATTGTGATTTGTGGCTCATGACATCTGGAAGCAGCAACTACCCGGCTCAAATACATCTAAGAATCATTAATTTTATTTCTCTTTTTTGTAAAATCAGATTTTAAATGAGATATTTATCTGAAACTATTTTATTTTAAAAGAAAAAAATATGTGTTTGAAAAGATGGAATTAAAAGACTGTTAAACATTATTTCTTTAAAAAAATTATTTTTACATGAAAACAGAATATATTTGTGATCTGCTTTGATCAAAACTTTCACTTCTATATCCCAGGTCTACTTATTTCAGAGTAAAAATTTTCGCTTAGCTTAAATTTCTGATTAGAACTAATATTTATGTATTTTTGTGCTTAGTGAGAATGTAAATTTCACAGTGGAATTTTGAAATTTATCCTTAATTTGGATAAAAGCAAGTGATATATTTATAAAATTACTATAGGGATAAAAATGGTAATTTCCATTTTTTTTAAAAAGAACTAACATGATTATGTTTGTAGTTCTTTTACACATGTTTAGCAGAGGCTCTAAATTAAATATCTGTATTGACCCTAAAAATATTCCATAAATTAATTTAACAAATATGTGGCGAGTTTTTCATAGCTAAATAACTCTTAAAGAAGGAAATTGTTGCCTTCTGTTTAATTACATTAATTGAAATGTGTTTAAGGAAATGTTTTCAGCATATTTTGTATACTAAAAAACAAAAGGATTAGTATTGGGCCAATGGCCAAGAGGTAATATTACTACCGTGTAGACTCTTACTGTTCAAATTGTCCCACTTCCCCCAGAATTTTAGAAGCTAGAAGTCTGGGAGATACTGTATCAGCTGTGGTTGGGTGACACTCAGTGCCATAGGTACTCTTCATCTTTGAGTCATGTGTAAGATGGAACACGTGCCAAGTTGCAAAAGATGCAGAACTTCGTTATGTAATGGTTTGTTTTAGGCATTAAATATCAGCAAGCTATGCCTTGTGTGTTTTGTCTTAGATTGACTTGTAGAACTAAATTCAGATTTTGCAAAAGGCTGAGTCGATCTAATTGGTCAGATATTGAATGATGACATTATTGGATAGATTCTATTTATGGAATAAAGAATAATAAAGAATGAAAGGCTATGTTTGGGCACTTACTCTTTGCTTGTTTCATGATTAGCCTCCATCCTAACACACTAAATTTCCAAGTTACACAGTTCTGTAATAGTAATTATTGTTGCTGTTGATGTAACAAAACATACTTATGTTAGCAAAAGGAATAGAAGTGCCCCCAAATGCTATTTTTTTAGTTACTTGTAACTGTTGCTCTTGTACTTGTGTATGACAAAATAAAATTTGTAAAACATTTTAGCATGAAAAATAAAAATAAAATTTGTATCAGTCAAATATCTTGGTTGTACTTTTGAAATTCCCTTGACGTAAATAATCCTCACAGATACTGAAAGTCCATTACCACAAAGCTCTCAAGTCCTTTTAGTTCTTATCCAAATTCCACTTCTACATCTTTGATTTTTCTTTCATCCACATAGCTTCCATTCTTTTGTCAAATTCTATCTCTTCTGCCTCTGTAGTATCTCTGGACTCTGTCTCATACTTGAAATCTCTTATTTCTAATACTCTTTTTTTTTTTTTTTTTTTTTTTTTTTTCAAACTGAAAAAAGCCCAGGCCCCCCTTAGCTGTTGGTGTTGAGAACCTTTCCTTGTCTGACCCCATCTAAATTCATATTCCTTTTTCTTGTCATTGCCTTTTACATGTGTCTAGGCCAAATTGAGATGTTTACCATTCTTTGGAAATAGTTTTTTCCATTTTCCACACTTTGCTCATTCTCTTCCCTTTTTCTGGGAAATTTATTTCACCATTTTTTAAAATCCCTCAATCTTCCCTGTTTTTCAATGTTCATCCCAAGTAGCCCACCCACCTATCCCTCTCTTCCTGCATATTCACCCAAACACTTGGTGACTTCTTTTCCCAAATGTGTAAATTAAAAAGAATTGTCCTGTCACAAAGAAGATTTTGATTTTGGTTTTGAATTC